TCCTTTATGCTTTTCAAGTTCAGGGATGAGAGAGAGCGAGAGTATGCGTGCGCGTCTGTGCCCATACAGTTCGCTCAAGTGGGAAAAAACCCCGTTTGTGGTTCACACAGGAGGAATTTCTGATGGGAGACAACAGTGCTAAGCAGAAAGGCACATCCTGATCTCTAGCAAGTGAGGGGCACGCCGGCGCACACACGCACACAACACATACTCTCCGGGCGCTCTGCATAATACGTGCAAAGCGCTGCCCTTTAATGAACGTAACCTATGGCGGCTGGGATGCAGCCGGCCAGACCTCGCCATTAATAAACTGGGAACATTCTTCTCCTTTTTTTAGTCCCTTTCAATGCCAGCCCCGCGGTTTGATCTCCCTTGAATGCTGCTCCCCCTCATTTGGGGCTCCAATTCTGAGAAGATTTGGCGCATTGTTTGAGGTCGCAGGATGTCGGATTGATTTCGGAGCTTTTGTATTGACTCCGGGCTCCTGAATGAAGCTGTCATGTGTGTCTGTGGTTGGCTAGCAGGCTGTCCGGCTGCAAGCTGTGCCTTCCTTTGTTGTTTAGGCCTCATTGAGCTGAGGGAAGAGGCTCATTTCAGGGTGATTTACCACCACCCAAACACCAGCTGTCTGTTGTACTGCCGCTTGCCTCCACCTTGGATTCAGTTCTTGTTTCCCTTCGTTTTCCCCCCTTCTCTCCCACTCTTCCACTATAGGCACTTGGGTACTGGTTTTTCAAAACGTGTGGATCACCCTGACAGAACAGCATAAAAAACATAATGAACACTGAATGTGTTGTTCTTCTTAATGGCATTTGTGCACCCATGGGGATTTTGCACTGTTGCAGTGCTATACATAGAATCACAGAACAATATCTTGAGTTGGAGGGGACCCACAAGGATCATCGAGTCCAAGTTCTGGCCCTGCACAGGACAGCTCCAAGAGTCAGGCCATGTGCCTGAGAGCCTTGTCCAAACACTTCTTTAACTCTGGCAGACCTGGGGCTGTGACCAGTGCCCTGGGGTGGTTCCAGCACCCGACCATCCTCTGTATGTTTGTGCCAGCTCCCTGGGGAAGAGGCTACTTTCAGTATTTTCAGTGGTTGTTGCTCAGAACAGAGGAAGGCTGATGAAAACCGAGCAGGTCGGAGCCCTGCTGGACCTGTCAGACACTGCAAAGTGCATGACACGGTGCTGCTAAAGCTGAGCCCACCTCTCGAGCTGAGCTTTTCAGCCGCAGGCTTGGGAGAGCGTGAGGAGGACAGGATGCTCCCGTTAATCCCAGCCAGCTCCTCCAGAGCACAGGGCCTGGCAGCTCCGTGGAGGCCCACCGGTGCCATGTGCCTCGTGTCTGACTCCTTTAAACAGGGCTGGCAGCTCCGCCCGGGACGGCTCTGGGTGATGCTGCCGTGATTTGTGTGTGCCCCTGAGCCTCCCCCGGCGCTGCTGGCGTGAAGCGAGTTGTGACCGACCCTCATTTGACTTCTGGGTGACGCAGTTCGGTATTTCTCGACCACAGTCTGTTAAAATTGGCAACTGCTCAGCTCCTGTCACCCGTGCAGCTGAGATAATTAAGCCTGTTACTATTATTATGATTTTTTTTCTTCTTTTTCTGCAAACTTTGGCCAACTGCTGGAGCCTGTGGTGCAAGGAGGTGGGTGAGGGCAGAGAGATCCCCTATAAGAGGTGGGGTGATGTGACATATGTGCTTTGTCAAGGAGCCTTCTTGCTCTTGGGAAGGGTGGTGTCTGACAATGGGTAGGAGCCAGTAGAAGGAAAAGTGAGCTTCCCTGCTGGAAAACCTTGTGCCTACCTGCTTCTAAACCACAGCATCTCATCAAAAGTAGGCAGTACATCTGTGAGATTTCAACATAACTGTTCTCCTCCTCAAGGCCTTTATTAAAAGGCCAGGAAACATGGAAATGGTGCTCAGACCAAGCATCTAATAATACCCAGTGAGTTGAGGCTCCTCTCTTTGCAGCATTCTTTTCCCTCCCTCATGCGCATCAGGCGCTGCTGGACGAAGGCAGGGGGGATATATTAGGAGGCAACAACCACAGCAGGATAGCCCCAGTGAGGTGTTTTAATTTCTTAACAAACTCCTTGGGCACTAGAAACTGTAAAATAACATACAGATAAACAAACAAAAACTCCCTAACCCTTAGCACCCTGGAGGGCCCTGTTTCAGATCGTCAAATAAAAGTTGAAGTTGCATATGCATGTTTAATGTAACACAAGGTGTGTGCTGCGGAAAAGCATGCTTCCTTCTAATCTGGTTCCAGACAGAAGCATCCAAACAGAAGCCCCTTTCCCTATCCCTACTGAACTGCTTGGTGTATGTGAGGAAACCCCTCAATGACAAGATGTCCATCTACTCTGGAACAGAGTTGTGACTGGCTGCAAATGTTGTCCATATGACTTTTTTTTTTTCTCTTTTGCCTTTCAACTTAGCTGCCTAATGTTAGGCATCTATCCCCAAATTAAGTATCTCATAAGAAGCTTTCCTAAAATAAGGTGGAGGTAGCAGCTCATTCAGCCAGTGCACATTAGGAGAGGTGCATCTGCAGCTGGAAAAGGAGGTGAGATTATTCATCCAGTGCATTGCTTTCATTTGATTTTTTTTTAGGGAATGGAAAAGTCCCTTTATTCTTGTACTACCATAGAAAAAGAAAAAAAAATCAAGTTTTGGGTTAATATTCCCCTTCTACTCCTGATTTCCCAGGTGCCTATGGGCAACATCTTGCAATATCTCTCTCGTAAATAAAACTGGTGATATTTCCACTTGGGAAGGAGAACATGACTGTGATTTGCCATGAGCTCAGGTCATATTAGAGCCATGGAAGGGTCTAAAAGTGGGAGGTTTTTCCTTGGCTTGTGGTTAAAAAAGAGTTCAATTATCTTTTTCAACATGATGACTTTGCAGTGGATATTGGGACAAATTGACCATCAACAAGATACATATGGATCTAGTTTCCTAACCACAAGTGTGTGTTATTGCTATAGGTACCCCAAGATACCCTGGCTGAACATCAGCTGCCTTTTAGGAAGTGTGTGGATCTCTCTTAGGTCCTTTGTGGCTCCAACTTGTGTCATATAGTGTGAGATGTATAGAAGGTGCTCTGTGGTTAGACAGATGAGTCTCTTCCTGTGCCTCAGTTTCCTATCACTGTCATAATAATGTAATACACTTGCTTTAACTTCTAGTTTAATCACTTCCTTCTGGGCAATGGATTTTGAATTTTAGAATTTTAGAGATTATGGACTGATTTTTGAAGGACTGTAATAATGGGGCAAGAGCAAAATACCATTGATAGATTGGAGTTACAGGCAGAGGATGGCAATCGCAAGTAGTCCCCTGAAAACCTCAGAGTTTGACAGGATTGTATCAGCAGACCAAATGAAACATTTTGTTAGGTATCAGATGAAGTACCAGTGCTACCTTTTCAGTGTCTTATTTTTTTCCCAGCTTCTCTTTTGGAAAGAGGAAAAAAAAGTAACTTCTGCACATTATCTGACCTTGCTGGGACTTGTGAGATGCTGAGGTCACCAAGTAAGAGATCTCACCACACCTGGCAGGTTGCAGGCTTTCCCAAGGTGACCAAAAGTTTATCTGCCTGTTTGTAATTCCTGCCACCAAGGGTGGTGTGCTCTCTGCTGTGCCCTGACATTGAGCAATGGCTGCAACTCCTTTTAATCATGCCCTTTCCCTTCCTTGTTGTTTAGGACAGAACACTTCCACTTGGCTAAACTCAATAACTGTGTTAGTGTTGGGGTCTCCTTTTCTATGTAAAGTAATCCAGCTGAGATCTAGCGACTCTCCATGGCTATGCACGAGCAGATTCTACCTCTCTTCCCCAGTGGATGCTGAGAGTGTTTATTTTTTAGCTGTGGGCAGCAAAAGTCTGAAAATAGACAACGTCTTTGTGTGTGCCCGTGGGAAACAAGTAATTGTGGCAGGTTTGTGGAGACTCCATTGCCTGTTACAGTCTGAGTTCAGTAAGCATTTTGACCAAACCTGGAATCCCAAACCCTCCCTGTCATGGTGATTTATCAAGATGCCCGGGTTTGATAAGCAAAAAAAATGATCTGGCGAAGAACCAGAGTGACTCAAATAATCCCCAAAAAGAACCATGTTAACATCAGGGACCTTCCTGCTCTAATCACGCTCAGTCTGAGGGGTTTTCAACAAAAATAAGGTGTCCAAGCTCAGCTTCGTTCTCAAACTGTTCATTGCAGGTAAAAGGAAAGTGAGGGGACCCTGTTGCTTTGCAAATCTCTGCTGACCCCAACATCCACCCTTGGAAGTGTTCAAGGCCAGGCTGGATGGGGCTTTGAGCAACTTTGTATAGTGAAAGTTGTCCCTGTCCAAGGCAAGGGGTTGGAAATGGATGATCTTTAAGGTCCCTTCCAACCCAAACATTCTGTGATTCTATGTTATAGAAATTATAGGGTCTGTGCCAGCAGTGCTGAGTGAGGGTGGGCTGTTGAATTCCTGGCAGGGATTTAATACCAGTGGTGATGTGGACCCATTGTCCTGCTGAGGGCAAGTCACACCTGTAGACTTGATTGCACCAAATCTAGGCACTAGAAGCAAGTAGGCACTAACTTGGTAAGGGAGCTTTTCTTCAAGTCACTGCAGTTTGGTACTTGTACTCTCTGAGCATGATAGACTTGTTCCTGTTCATGTAAGTGTATGAAAACAATGTATTAAAATAACTTTTTTTTTTCAGCTTTGCTTTCCTACTGTGTTTTCCCATGCACCTTACTATCCTTCTACCCCTGTCTTTGTCACATCCCTGATGCTGTGATATTGGCCCTCGGGAAAGTCTTCTTGGCAGCTTGGGAGCTACCCCTCTGTGAAAGGGGACCTCCCAGGAATGCAGGATGAGTCCACAGGCTTCCCTAATGCTCTTTCTTCCCCTGTTTCTGGTAATAAATACAAGACTTCTTGGTCTTCAGTGATTGAGATTGTACTGATGTTTTTCTTGCCTTATCTCTTTTAGGGAAAAGTCATTGGAGATGCAAAACTGCTTATGAGTTGTGGTTGCAGAAAAGGGAAAAATTCTCAAGTGAAAGACTCAGATCAGGTCAGTCAATATATACCTTTACTGATGGAAATGCAAAATGTTTTAACATCTGGTGGATTTGTTTTGTTCTGTTCCATATCAGAGTTCCTGGACACAAACAGAGTTCTTGACATGATTGACAATGGTACAACATTAATGTTTTTGTGTTTGTTATTTGTAGAAAAACCCTTAAGCAAGACTGGGGATTCCTTGCACTAGGAGCTGTTCATGCCCTAGCCTGGCTTATTCACATCTGGTTTATTTATTCATGAATTCTGTTTCTTTATAAAAATCCACTCCAGGCAATGCCTTTCTTAAAGAATATTGCATTTCCTTGCTGGCTAAATGCATGCAACCTTTGGTCTCCTACTGTATCTGCCTAGATGGGTGGCAGCTACAGAAAAACGTGCCATTCTTTGCATGCTTTTGTTCTGGAGTGACACCATCACAAGGACTTTTCTTATTGAGGTCCCCTCATGATAGACATGTAAAAACTTGCTCACAAACTGATGGCCAGGTTTCAATATTCATTACTTGGAATGAATGGCCCTTTATTCTAAAATTGGTCAAACTGACATTGGTAGGACCACTTGTAGGGTTCAGTAATTGCAAGCGAGATGGTCTGTGCTCGTTATGACAGCCAGCTGGTGGTCTCTTGCCGCCTCCTGCCATTTTTGCACTTATTCATCTCTGTCAAAATTTTTAGTTATTATGGCCTTCTGGCTTTGTAGGTAAAGAGAAGTTTCAATCCGGAGATCATTCGGTCCGAAAATGAAACAAAATTTGATTTGAGCATAAACATTTTATAAAATCGGGTCATCCAGTCTTAAATATGGCAAAGTGAAGCAGCTGATCTCAAAGGTCAAACAACTTTGTTCTCTAATGTACCTTGTGAACAGCCTGTGACTGAGTATAGACCTGAAGCAGATTCAAACAGTGTCCACATAGTTCAGAAACTCATGGCAATTTCTTGCAGGGAAAAGAGGTGAATTCTGAAGAGGAAAGGTGGTTTTCATTTTTAAAATGCATCAAATTTTAACATTCAACAACTGTAATTAATAACAATGTTTCTAAGCCTTGTTTTGTTAATCTTTAAGAAGATCTGAGGAAAGACCTATCTATCTATCAGTCTATCCACCCATCTACCTATTTTGTAGTAGGTTCTTTTGTGAGGAACATTAGTCACACTTACAAATTCTTCATAGGATTTAGTCATTCACTGATTTGTTTTGTTTTGCTTGTGTTTTTTTTAACCAGTATTTTCAAAATAACAAATTCATTCCCATGAGCTACATTATCAGTTGGCCATCAAGACCAGGGTTCATATTACTTTTCTTTAAAGACTGGTTTCCCATTCCCTCAAATATGAGCTTACTAGTGACATTTTGAGGTTCTAATGCATCAGGAAAAAATAATGAGGAAACAAACACTCTTACCAATTTTAGTCTTTTATGTTTTGATGTACTCTGATTTACAGGACTAAAGCAGCGTTAAACCACTGGTAGTACAGATTAAAAATTAAATTGGAACATCCTGATTGCAGAGAGGTTTTAAATAGCAGTATCTCTAAAAAACCCTGTGTGGTAGACCTAAAACTCATAAATAGCAATATTTTAATTATAGAGTAGGCAATAGTTTTCAGAGGGGAAAAAAAAAATCCCATTCTCTTTTATGTTTTCTAGAAGAGTGAAAATTATTTTTTGCATTCAGTTACTTTCTGAAATCTAATTTCTGTTGTAAACTGGTGATGTATTGACTCTTTCTTTGCTGTAACAACATAAACTATGGGGCAAGGGCTTGCTTCAGAGTCTGTAAAGCTCATTCATCATGCCCCTGGCAGGGTCCTGTCTGTATTTCAGGGGACAGGAGGTGGATGAGGAGGAAACTACTACAGGAGAGTGGGTGGCAGTGTGGAACATTTGTCTGTAAATGCAGGACCTCAGCTCAGCTTATAAATTATCCCCTGGGCCTTGTAGATAAACACAGACTTCTATGGTGACATCGGCTGGGAAAGGCAAACACTTGCCGATGATTGTAGGCTAATCCTTCAGGACACTAATTGCCAGAAAACCAAGGAAGCATTATTTTAGGAACAGCTTGTTTCACTTTGTGAAGGGGAAAAACAGTGCACTGGATTTACTTTTGTTTGCAGAGCTTTACTCCCTCCTCCTGTGCCCTGTCTCGGATTTTAAAGGTTTACCTTCATTATTGTTATTTGGGTATTTTTTTTTTTTTTTTTACCTTTTCCGTGCTTTGTGTTTCACCCTGATGCCTCTTTAAGCATTTGTGAATATGCAACTTAGTTTTCATTTGCATGAATGTACACATAAATAGCTAAATTTAAAGTTTTGGGACTCACCAACTACTTTTTGGCTGGAATTTCTCTGAAAGGTGATGTTTTGTAAAGATTTTATTTTTCTTTCATTCTTTTGAGTCAGTTGGGAAACTGTCAAAAAGTCCTAAACACACAGCCCCACCAGTGAAAATCCCCAGCTGAACCAATTCATGACCCTATTCAATATATTCTGTGATTCTGTGGTTCTCCAGTATGCCTCTGGAAGAAATGGCACCTTCAACTCCTTGACCTGAGTTCTGCTTCCCCAAATCCAGCACTCAGACACCAACTATCTGCATGATGTTTTCCATGGTGCAAGGCACCAGTGTGTAAAATCCAGACCTGTCACTGTCAAGGGCAGAAGTGTAAACAGGCCCACATGGGGCTGGGATTTCACAACAGGCACAAGGAACCCAACCTTCCTGTTCCAGGAGGGGTACTGGCGGCCTCTGTTGTGTGGCCTCCGAATCCAACTCGAACCAAGATGAGGTGGAAGGCTAAACAGTGCAATAAAATGCTTTGAAAACCTCAAAGGGGATACAGCTGCATTGAAGAACTAGAGTCTTATTGCCCATGCATGGTCTAGATGAAATTTTGGGTCAGTGAAGCAGGATGACTGAGGGGAGTCCCCAGATGAAACCACCTCTTGCCAGCAAAACCTGTGTCTTTGGCTGCCACCAGCAAAATTGCCAACTGTTTGTGTGCTTTGTGGGAGTAAAATTCATCACTGCTTTGAGGCCAAGAACCAAGACTCTGCACCACAAATATCCCAGTGTAATTGTAAGGTTCACATATGCTCTTAGGAGTGGTTATTAGTTTACCAGTAATTTATGCCTCCCCATAAATTATTATAATGTTGCTTATTATTTGAGGTGCATTGTTGTATAAGAATGGCAATCCTGGACTAGGATTTCCTTGTGCCAAGTAGTATACCAACATAAAGTAGGAAAGATGTTTCCTGGGGAGTGATTTCATTTATGTAACTTCAGAGGAAAAAAAAAAAAAAAGAAAAAACAGCGTAATTTAAAAACAGGAGTAAAATGTGTGGGTGGGCAAATAGTGTGCATATTAGAGGTATGCATAAGATTGAGAACCAGAAGTAGCAGAGTTCTCCATATCCTCATGCAGCTCTGCCTTCTCAGAGTTTAGTTTTATTTGTTTTATATTGCTTCTCCCAAAAGGTGGGTGGCTCATCAATGTTTAACTGCTCTTACCCTTTGATTTTTTTTTTTTTTTTCTCTTTGCTTAACTTTTCCGGTGGTTCCTGTGAGATCGAGTGTTACGGAGAAGTCAGGCCCTCCTGTCCTTCTGTGTGTTTGGTTTTGGTTTTAATATGACAAATGTATGCCTCCTCTGGAAATGGTATCCATGCTGCAGAGTAATTATTTAGTGAATGGTGGATCCAGTTCATGTCGGCAAGGATCAGATTAATCATTATTAATCATGACCCCTCCGACAGTAACCTCATCCCTTGCCTAAGTGCTGCTCTTTATTAAGAAGTAAAAGCTATTAGGGGATGGCTGGGCCACTGCTCTCGTTGCACCAGCACAGGGCTCAGGCCTTCTAGCAGGAGGCAGAGGAACTCGGTTCAAAGTTAAAAATAGTTGCACATGGTCCACGTTCCAGAAATGAAATAGGCAGCATCCCCTGTGGGCTTCTTCGGCCTCATCTGAGTGTCCTCCTTTCCCCTGAAGCCTCACGAGAGTTTGACTCTTTCCAAAGGTTGAATTCAGTGTTAGGGATTAAATAATCTCACAGAGGCTTTTTTTTATTTGTCTGATAGATTTTCCTCTTTTTAAACTTACAGAGATCCCAGTATAACCCAATGCATGCACAGTCCCTTCAGGGGGAAGATTTTAAGGTCTATTCCTGTGGTTGCAACAGGTTTCGACAGCTGACGAGACTGACTGTGAGCTCAGCTCTCTTCAACTCCTGTTCTACCGAGTAGATCCCAAATCAAGCAGCCTTTTTGAGGATTTCTGGATTCCTTGAAGGAATAACGTACTGTAGAGATGAAGCACGCAGTGAAGTTCACCTTGTGCAAAATAGTTGTGAGAAGTCCAATTTCTCTCTCCAAGTGACTGGACTGGGGTTTGCAGACATATATATGTCTCTATATCTCAAAATAGATCTTCCCTCTGTCACCAGAGATCTGCCAAGACAGTAGTTTAATTCATAATTATTCTGGTTTTCCTAGCAGTACAGGTTCTTTTTAAGAAGGTGAGACAGTGCTATCAATTGATGTCATCGTTGTTTCAGCAAAAGCACAATGAGTTAAGTACTGGATTGAAACCAATCTCCCCACCCCCCAAAACGCACCTTAATTACTTTTTAAAATGTTTTCACTGGCTTTGTGGAATTCCGGGACAAAACCCTTTAGAGGAGAGCAAAGGAAAGAAAAACACCTTTTGTCCCCATCTAGCTCTTCAATGCCTGACCGGTAGCAGTAGAAAATTGGAGCAAACCTGCCTCACTCTTTTGATCTCTGCTAAAGTTGTTGTGGGAATAACATTGTTCAGTGGTTGAAGGAATTTATTGAAGAATAAAAGTACCAGCAAAGACAAAGTGACTGATACAAATTGTCTGGTAAACCACCGTCAAATTTTATGTGTTCAGGGCTACTGATAAGTTGCCATCTTAAAAAACAGGGTGGGAGTTTGGAGGGGAGGAGGGTAAAAAAGTGTAT